AATCATCCCAATCACGCAAATGTTAGCATGTTGCTAAGCTAACAAAGAAATCTCTAACAGAGTGCTGAAGGTATGTTGTATTTTTGTCAGCCAAAAGTAGTTATAATTGTAGCACTTTTGATTCCATTGTCAATATCACTTGTGTTTTCTAAAGTTTTACTTTTCTTGAAATAGGCAGTTGCTAAAGTGGCTAAATGGGACTACAGGAGCTGTCAGGGACAAATAAACACCATCACATCGAACAGGTAAAATAATGTTCTCGCTAGTCTGCTTTCACATGTCTCATTATGTTCATATTAGCTCAATTGCGAACTATTCTAATTAAAACTTTCAGGGAACGTTTTTTTTTTTTTTTTTTAAGTCTGAAATAGTTGTTGGAAGATTAATGGTGGTGACATTGAAGTCAAGCGACCCAGTAGTTAATTTATAGCCTGCGTTTAGCTTTTTACTTCTGACGAATGTATTTAGGCTTCAAAACGTATCATGAAGCACAAAATGTGTTTTGTTGGTCACAGGCTTTTTTTTTTTTTACAATATTCTAAAAGCCTATGAAAAATCCTATTCATTTTTTGGTGAGGTAACCAGGTTGATGCTAAGTTCTGGATGGCCTACAAAATACATCCTCACTGCATAAAATACATAGCATAGTCAAATATTGAGGGAAATGGTCATTTTTACTGAGATTTCCAGTAATACATTGATCTATTTTCAATATGATTGTTGACTCTGCTATTCTTAATCATTTTTTTTGTCCCTAAACTCTTTACTACGTGTACTAGGATATGTTATTTTAGTATTATTGAGATACTATTTAAGCTTTTATTATTATTTAAAATTTTTATATATATTCTGTTTTCACTTTAAATTTAGTTATAGTATTTTTTATTTTTATTTTAAATGTCTAAAAAATATATTTCTACTGTACATAGTTTTTATTTATATTTATTTAGTTCTAGTTATTTTATAGCTAAATGAAAATGAGAAATTTTGCGTTGGAATGTTGCAAGCCAAAGAAAATTACGTTTAATTTTATATAGATAGATAGATAGACAGATAGATAGATAGCTAGATAGATAGATAGATAGATAGATAGATAGATAGATAGATAGATAGACAGACAGACAGACAGACAGACAGACAGACAGACAGATAGATAGATAGATAGATAGATAGATAGATAGATAGATAGATAGCTAGATAGATAGATAGATAGATAGATAGATAGATAGATAGATAGATAGATAGATAGATAGATAGATAGATAGATAGATAGATAGATAGATATAAGTGTGTGTGTGTGTGTGTGTGTGTGTGTGTGTGTGTGTGTGTGTGTGTGTGTGTGTGTGTGTTATTTCAGTTAAAGTTTATTTCATTTCAAGTAGGATATTAGTTTTAATTAACTACAAAAATCTTGTTCGGGAATAAACTTAACCTTGAAGAACACATGCAATTCTGCTTTCAATTTTGGCTAGAATATCTTAGATTGTAATAATTAGTATTCTGCCTACTGTTTCAAATAGCCTTCATGTCGGGACCAAGCCTGTGATGCCTAGAGCTGTCCAGGTAGGAAGCTTGCTTGGTTTTGGAACGTTGCTATTGTTTACTATGAGGCTCCGAGCGTTACTTTCATCACCAGTTCTATCTACCTCCAGTCAAAGCTGTTTAATACTCTCTGGCTGATTTTATAAAGCTGATCTCCATGAGCAAAACACCCGAGGCGTCCACGATGACCCACAAAACCCAGAGGAACCAGCATAAAAATTCCACAAGATGTAATTACAATCAAGTTTGTTGTGTCTCACCAATTAACCCTGTACATATCTGAGCATGTTAAAAAAGTGTAAGTGTGAACTTTTTTGCATGCATATGGTACGCAGCCATTCTCAACAACTCCCTTCTCATCTCTAAAAATGGATCACTCAGAGAAACATATTGTAGCGACGCCAGACCGTCCGTTTCCCTGGCAGATGCCGACACCGTGAGCACGAGCCAATGAAAACACTTAGTCCCCTGTTCCCTTTTTTAATTGGGATATTTTAGTGCTATTAGCAGCAAAGGCTCCACACCTCCTTCCCAAAACATTACAAATGCAGATCCGCACCCCGTCATGGTCATTGAACCAGGTACAATCTAGAAACTCAGGTGTCTCCGAAAGCAAGCGGCGGATGTGTCTGGCAACCTGCTCCGTTGATGAAGGTTGAGCTAAGACTAGAACAGAAGAACTGGATGAATGCCATCATTTTGAGGAGCTGCTGTTTTGAGGTTGAGTGTGTAGAGTGAAAAGAGGGGGGTGTTCGGGCTCTAAGGGACTGACACCATATGTTATGTCAGCATTCATTACACTTTTATAGAGGCCTACAGTGCTTTACTTTCAACGGAATATGTTATCTGTGTATAGGATGCGTCTGCTTAAAGGTGTGCGCAGAAAACCGTTTTAATATTTGATTTTTAATCTATCAAAAGTGATAAATTGGCAAGGTAGGTGTACTCCGATATCAATTATATATCGCCATCTGCTGGTTTCAAAAGTACTGACATATAGATTAATTTGTACAGACAGCGTTCTCACAAAGAGACACATGGAGATCAGGGGGAAAGCAATGGAACTTTTCTTCTCTGAGCAGTTCTTCCTTCTTTTCTCAAAGGAATAAGGAATGATGAATCTAAATAAAGATAATGGTAGTAGAGTTTATTTTTAGCACAGAGGAGATAACTAAAGACTCAAAAGTGTAGTTGAGCCAGCCGTTTTATAGGTTAGTTTTAAACAACTAATCATTTTAAATTAGAGTAATATTTCTCAATTTTGTCATCCAAACAAAAATGACAATATTATCATATATTTTGCAGTATAGTTGCTGGATGAACACGTGAAAGTAAATCAAAGATGGACTAGATAATTAGCAGATTTCAACAGCAACGTTAAGTATGTTCTCAAGACCAGTTTTAATTTAGTAAAGTTTTAATGCATATTTTGAATTAGCTTTTGTTTTTATGTGATCGGTTTTCTTCTAAATTTGTGTTACATTTTTTGTCATTTTATTATGTGCTTTTGTCATTTTTATTTAGTTTTTGTTTTCCTTTAAAATATTACTCTTTAGGGTTTTTTTACATTTCAGTTTAAGTTTTTGTTTATTTCAGTTTATTAATTTCAGTGCTTCTACTTAAACTTTATTCAGGTAGTTGCCAATACAGCATTTCTAATTTTTGCTTATTTTTTTCATCTAATATATACAAGTCATTTTGCAATATATATATATATATATATTTATAACGTTGAGTCGAGTGAATCGATCGAATCGGTTCACAAAAGCAGATTAACTCACGAATCGGCATATTAATTGGTTTTTGAATGTTCTCAGTCACTTTCATCCGCAAAATGACTCAAAAACCTTTCCTTTTGTCTCTCGTTACTTACTGCGATGAGAACGGGACATCTCGTTTGTTAACGAACTGAACGAACTATAGTAAACTAGGCTCCATGAAAGATTCAAGTATCTTTGTGAATAAACTCGATGAACACCCCGTTCACAAGTTTTATGACTATGTAAAAGTGACTGATAGTCATATATAATTAAAATGACAAAATTTTTTTAAATATAATTTGTTTGTGTTTGGGCTATTGCTGTTTCATAGCTTGATAAACTGCACGTTCCCGCAGGATAAACATCTCATTCACAAACAAGGAGATATGGGGTTTAGAAGTTATATGTAAAAATGACTGATGATCATATACAAAATTGTGCTGTTACAATATTGACCCTGCTGGAAAAAAAACAATAGAACCATCACAGAAAATTCTAATGGTTTCAACTACAAATACCATTACAATCCATCAACTTTTAACCATTAAAAATGGTTTTCTGTAGTGTGTTTTGGGACATATTCCATTAGGATTTATTATTTTAACAAGCCACCAATAGAAGGTGACCAATTACCAGTAGAGACCCACAGGGTTGTGATAGTGTCTATGGTTTTATTTTTCAGCAGAAACATTTTAAACAACTAAGTTTTATATTTTTATTAATTTAGGCTTATTCTCAATGTTTTTACAGCTTGGTAAGTGTCACCTCCTTGCAGTAAAAATTGAGGAAAAATATTTGAAGGATTCAATTGATTCACTGGTCAGTGAACAAATCTTTTTGGTGAAAGCATTCAAAATATTGGAGTCATTGGGTTGAAACAAAATGCCCAACACTACTTTTTCACACTTGTGTTGTATTTTTGAGTAATTAAAAGGACCTTGCGTTCTCCCAAAATAGTTAAATGGTTTAATCATTGCAAATAGTTCCAAGTCATTATTTTTCAGCCTGTCATGCGGTGGTAAGTGTTTGAAATGCCCATACAGCCTCAGTGAGATTGGCTTCCCTCAGTCATGAAAGCCATTCCATGCCCTTTAAAGAGGATTACACTCATGTTTGAGCCTGGCGGGACAGCCAGGACACTGCAGACTTAGGCCACAGCTGAAAGGATTTCCAGCCCTGACAATGAGCCAGACTACGAGAGTGAACAAAAGCAGTTTACAAACCAGAAACATAGTCAATATTATAAACTTCCTCCGAATAATGCACCACATTGGAAATTAGTACCCCTGACAATGAGCCAGACTACGAGAGTGAACAAAAGCAGTTTACAAACCAGAAACATCGTCAATATTATAAACTTCCTCCGAATAATGCACCACAATGGAAATTAGTACATCCATTCAAGAATTTCCTTCATTAAAAAAAAAAAAAGCACATTTTCAAAAGTATTTTGTTAATTGGCCATTAGAATCGAATTGCTCAGTTTTATTGCAACACTGAAAAATAGTCATAATACTTAGACTTCATACCAACTACGTGGAACAAATATACAAGCACCCATTTCATTCGTGCAATCTAGATTTAAATAAGCAATGCATGTGTTCTGACAGTCCTGAAAGTTAAGTCTTAAAATACTTTGCTACAATAAATATTCACGTACCAAATTTTATGAGGGAAGAGAAGACAAATAGTCACAAATGTGCAAAGTCACAATTTTATTGTCCTAGATAAAAAGATAGTGCATCTATCATAAAACGTTCACAAGCATCAGCAACAAAGATTCAGTATTTTCTAACTTCGGTTATTTCTAATTCAGACCAGTCTAGAATTAGTGGTCCGCTTGAGGTCATTATGAAGATTCGAGCTTAAAATGACTGCAAAAACAAACCGTTTTACCCTGCTGTCAGTGTTGTTAGCACATGGTCACAAAAACCCTGCCATGAATATACTAGGATTGCTACATGCTGGTGCAGTCCTATAGAAAGCCCTGGAGGGGGCAGTATTTTAAAATCCGTGGACCTTCAACTGCTCTTCCTTTACGATGTTGATCTGCGAAATAGAGAATGAAAATGAGTAACTGCTTAAACCAATTTGATTGGTAGTCAAACAAACACAAGGGCAATCAAATTATCCAATTCAAACATGCACGGTAAAGAGAAACCGCTTGCAACTAGTAACATGATATTCCAAACATAAGCATACATTACCTCCATCAGAAACTGACAGATATTCTTCCTTTGGTCCCCCTGTAACTGAATCACCTCTCCATACTCTGGGTGCTCGATCACTGTACCATTGCAGGCAAATTTCTATTAAATAAAACCGTGCAATATTACTCATCAAATAGCACTTTAGGAGAAACGTTTTCAAATAAGCGAAGTTAGAAAATACCTTTTTAAAGGCTTTTACAAGTTTCTTTTTATCATAGTCATCCGAGATGCCTTGCACGGTGGTCAGCGTTTTGCGGCCGTTCCGTTGTTGAATCCTTATATGGATTTTATCCTCAGTCCCAGCCGGGAGCAAGTCGTCACCCTTAGTTGCATCAGCAAAGGGATCTACAGAGAAACAATGAACCATTTCAGTCTTGGTTACAAGAAGCCAATCTCTCACACACAATAAGAGCTGAAGACTGAAGATGAATTGAAAGTCGCACAATGGGAAGGAGATCAAATGAGCACCATCTGATTGTGGTTTTTCTTGTTGTTTAATCATTTTATTATATTTATTTTGACTGCTTTACTGACAGTTGGGAGCATGGAGCACGGGGAATTTATATATATATATATTTTTAAATATGCCTCTCACGGCATAATGTTATTTAACTAGGTGGTTTATTTTCTTGTGGGGGGGGGGCTTTAATTTTAACCCGGAAGTAAAGTTTAGCTCATAAATTAACGTTTTCAGACGATTCCAACACGCCATTTTACTTATAGAGTAATTGTATGTTATCACAATATTTATGCATCCCACAGTGGTGTATTATATTATATAAATAAAAATAACAAAGATCGTAATCCTATGCTTTTACAGGCAAAGACCTAGCGACTACATGCATAGATTGCCACATGCTATGCGGACGCGAAAGAGAGAACATCGGGCTTGCTTTACTGTGATAGCAATGCAGGCACGATATTCCTATTATAATATCCTCCTTTGTGGTAGTTTTCACTCCATTTTAAATGTTTATTTTGATCTGAATAAGAAATGGAACAAAACTGAATGACTGAGTGACGTTTGTAATTTTATTGGCTTGTTATGTGATTATTTTATGATGCTATGTTATAGTTGATTTAAAAATTGTTAATAAGGTAATGAACTAAACATTTAGCAAAATACTTTTTCCGCGCCTTACCGTTATTGTCCAGCAGGCGGCACTAAATGCAACGATTGTTGCTTTAGACCACCGCCGAAGAAGTGAAGCGATGGATTCGGTTAATTTAACAACGTTGTCTCTCTGTTTACGATGTGAAGGGTGGAGTCACCGGTGAGATTAATAACACCGCTGCTCATAACCTAAACCTAAGAACAGAAGAGCAGCGGATCTGACAGGAGTGCAAGAAAACCTCTCAACGAAAATCTAAGCAAAATATGTTTTCTCTTCCTACAACCGTTCAGTCGCAGGTATGAGGACATTTAATTGTTTTACATAGTTATTGCCAAAGTCCTTTTTGTGAATAAATGAGTGGCTTTAGCGAGTAATAATGAACGAGAAAGAGAAACAGTGTCAATGAGACTCTTAATGACAAACATTGATTTTGTAAATGTCATCTGCAGTGTTGGGGAAAGTTACTTTTAAAGGTAATGCATTACAATATCGCGTTACTCCTTAAAAAAGTAACTACGGTACTTGGTTACTTTTTATGGAAAGTAAGGCGTTACGTTACTTTTACGTTACTTTTTAAATCTGGACAGGGCTTGCTTGTTTGTTTTTAAAATAAAAAAGTTATATTTTTGGCAAATATAAAAGCCTTTTCACACCAAAAGTGCAATGAATAAGCCTCAGGCTGAAGGTAAAGTTAATTTACGTCCGTACAGTAGAATGCAGAAGAAGAAATTTCAACACTTGCATTATTTTTATTCATTTTGAGGAATACTGAATCTGTGTTTTTTTTTGTGAGTGAGATGAATTAATGCATATTCATATTTGTTTTAGAACTACAGCAACTGATTTCTCTCAACATGGGGACAGGAGAGCTGTCAGTCAATAAATTGAAAAAAAAAGTAACTTGCGTTACTTATCTGACAAAGTAACTCAGATATTCTCTTGTAAATGAAAAAGTAATGCGTTACTTTTCTAGTTACTTGAAAAAAGTAATCTGATTACGTAACTCGCGTTACTTGTAATGCGTTACCCCCAACACTGGTCATCTGATTAAAATACGATATTTAAAACGGTAATATCGTTTACTGTTAAAAGTTTAAAATTTTAACAACATCCTGTTGATGGTCCATTTTGATGCTGTGTAGAACTGTAGTCACTCTTCAAACTGATTACAGTACACCATCTGATTGACTATTCATTTCCATCTGTTGAGATTCTTCTTAGCTTTTCTTCACTGTTGTCTGAACATATACTATACAGATGTTCTACATGCATTTATTATATTTTTAGTTAATTTTCGTGTTTTTTGATGACATTATGTAAAAGTACCTTCTTGCTAATATACAACAACAACAGCTTTTTAATAGAGAGACTGAGTGTGTAGGCCTACGTATCTGGAGGGAAGTTTCAGTAGTGTGTCAGTATGTTAGGAGAGACATAACTGACTACAGACCAGCATACTCTAGCAATCATATATAGAGAGCTTATCAGACACTTTGCCTGTATGATCATTTAAGGACTGGCAAGCTAATATTGCAATTTTATTCTTTTATTTGCTAACCAGTATTTTCCACACTAGGTTATGCAATGTGACCAACATGTTCTCTTTTTTTAGGGAACAGTGCCTTTGACCCATCTGATCAATGTGGTCCAGTATACCTGAAGAGTTCAGCCAACTCGGCCGTAACCACATCAGTGCAGAGTCTACAGAGAGACCTTTCACCTGAACATGACCCACTTCTCGGTGAGGTATGACAGTCACGACAACAGCACACACTGCTATATATCATGTGCATGTTCTTATTTACACTAGGGTTATTATAATTAACTAAAAGCATATATATATATATATATATATAAACTGAAATAAAAAAACAAAAACAAATTGACATTATTGAAGCTAGTTACCAGTGCAACATTTCTTATTTGTATTTAGTTTAACCTGATGTCCTAAAAATAACTCAAACTAAATCAATAAAAACGATAGTATATAGACATATAAAAAAAAACAATTATGAAAATTGAAAATGAAAATGGAAAATATAAAAATAAAAACATTCAAAATGTTTATAAAATAATACAAAATTAAAATACAATACTAAAAATGCTAACTGGCCTGTTTTCACAGCCCAAAGTAGACTTAAAGGACCTGGGTCTGTCAGAGCTGAGGTTCCATCGTGTACGTGAAGTTCTGGAGCGCCTGCTGCCTTCTATAGATCCAGAGGAGAAATCCATCTCCAGCGCTGCTCAAAACTCAACAGCATGGAGAACATCTCACATTTCTGCCCCCTCCTTCTTCCAAAACAAATATGGTGAGGTTACCCACAGCATGAGGTGGTGATATCGTGTTTAGAAGTATATTTGTCTCTGTGAAATGTTGGTGGCTCAATAATTAGGTTTATTCCCTTACAGAACTTGTTTATGCAATCACATTCAATCTTTCTTTATCAACGTTGTGCTGTTGAGAAATTAAATATAGGCTGGTCCAGCTTCACAGGAAATTACACTGTACCATTTCAAACCTGCTGTACTTAAAGGTGGGGTAAGTGATTTCTGGTAGCCAATGTTGATATTTCAAATCACCAAAACAAACACGCCACTACCCTAAAAGGGTCTCGCCCCTATTTTGATAGCTCCGCCCCACACATACGTATGCAAACCAGGCAACAATTATGGCGGAATCTGCTGTATTATTATCTGCTGTATTAAACATATTATCTTACTTTTCGGAGACACACTTTGGGAGCTGACGCTTGAAACAGACAGTGGAGGAGGTTTAGACGCTTCAGGCTTATAGGGTGTGGAAATGAATGTGTCTTTATCATAGCTGAAGGGAACGACAATACGATTGCAGATGATCAAACAAGCGAACATGACACATGAGCATATTCAAGCAAAAGCCAGCATGTATTAGTTCTGAGAAACAAAGCAAAACCAATGTTACTCACCTATCGAGGAGAAACAAAGCAACCTCGGCATCCGATCGCAGGCCTTCCCGCTCCTTGAGTTCTCTCCAGTGCTGGAAAGCTGATCCGAAATGTACATGTGTCCTACTTCTTGCCTTATCATAAGCCTTCTTTTGTTCCGCAGACATTTTCCTCTTGTTTTTTATCCGCCATCTCTATTTTTCTGTCGTCGCTCGGCTCGGCTCGGCTAATGTCCATCCTGTGCACTGAGCGCTCTCCTTTGCATCATGAGTAGACAAGCCCCTTACTGCTGATTGGCTACAAGTTTGTTTTGTTACTCGGCCCGACTCTAAAGCATTTTTGAAAAAATACATACCCCACCTTTAATTACTTTGTACAAGCTAGATCACAAGTAGATAAATGCATAACATTTATTAGGATGTTGAAATATTCTGTTTTATGCACAAACAACATTCCCAACAGCTTGTCAGTCTTAAAAAGTTTTTTTCTTGTCATCCGGACATTAATGGACCATTTTATTCTCATCAATGTGATTGCTATAAATTAAATTGTATGTCTTATTGTAAACATAGGGTTCTCTCCCAAACACATGGGACTCTTTGGCTCTTCGGTGTTTCGCAGGCAAAGTTCCAGCCCCCTCCAGGCAGCCTGCGTAGATCTGCATCATCTGCAATGTAATATTTCCTACAAGTGACCAAAAGTTAGAGGCATTCACATAAAGGATGTTAACTTTAACTTGAAGTTCACACCACAGCTATAATGAAAACAAGATAGATAAAACAACATTGTTGTTGAAATCATTTTAGAAAATCATTTTTTCTTGCTGTTGAACAATGAAAACAATCCATCCTGCTTTAAAGAGCTTGAACATTTAAAGAAACAGACGTCAAAACTGCAGTGCTCACTTATGTTAAACGAAACATTATTCTCAGTTGATTTGGATGCTAATATAGTTATTGTTATGGTTATCGTTCTTGTTGTGAATGGGGCTTTTACTCAGTTACATGCTGTTACATTATAGCTATAAATGAAGTTGTGGGTTTATTTTATGTGTGTCTTTTTTTTTCAAGACTAGACATCTGCAGTCTGGTTTTGAAGGTCCAGTAGATGCAGAGAATTATACGCCAGCCTTTATGAAGGTTGTTAAGCTTGAATGACACTGAGGAAATAGTTAAGGCAGGTCTGGTCTCATAAATACTACAGAAATATCTGAATGTTCTAAACCTGTTTTCTTGTATTTTTTTTTACCTTTGCCCTTTATTTGTATTTTTTGTATCCTTTTCTCTGTCCTCTTCAGGGCCTCCTTATGAAGGAAAAGCGAGACATGGGGAATCTTGAACAGTTACTGAAACAGAATAACTTGCCAGAATCTCACCAGGATGCTTTCAAGACAGGCTTCACAGAGGGTTTCATGAAAGCTCAGGCTTTGACACAGAGGACTCAAGGTAATGCTTTTAGACCTT